GCAGGTACAGGACTATAGGAGTTCGAGCCCAGCCTGAGCAAGAGCGACACCCCATCTCTAAAAAAAAAAAAAAGAGGACTATAGGTAATATCTCTCTGAAGTGATCTTATTTTTCTATAAAAAGTGAGAAAGGTCTATTTTAAAAATGCATACCTGACAGGCAGACTTCTGGTAGTACTTATAGAAGCCTCTGGGATTAAGTTTTTCCACTTAGAGCTTGAAAACTCAATGGATTTCAACACAGAAATGCCTTCTTCTAAAGAAGACTTCATCCAAGAAGCTCTTTCATATCGTTGTTGGGACACACAGCCAGCTTCCTTATACCCTAGGGAAGGGAGAGAGAGAATTTAACAAGAGGTTTCAAAGAAGAATAAGCCAGGTTGCAGGGCTCAGTGAAGAGTTACCTCGAAACGTGAGCCGGCTGTCAGCATTATCAGGGCGCAGAGACAAACGGAACTCCACTCGACTGGTAAACATGCGATAGGGTTCGCTGGTGCCCAATGTGGTGAGGTCATCAATCAAGACTCCTATGTAGCCTTCCGTTCGGCTAATGACAAAGGGAGGCTTTCGACTGACCCGGAGACTGGCGTTGATTCCAGCTATCACACCCTACAAGAGGACTGAAATGTTTAAAAGGCCATTATGGGGGCCGGGCAAGGTGGCTCACACCTGTAATCCTAGCACTCTGGGAGGCCGAGGTGGGTTGATCATTTGAGCTCAGGAGTTCGAGACCAGCCTGAGCAAGAGCGAGACCCCGTCTCTACTAAAAATAGAAAGAAATCATCTGAACAACTAAAAATATATAGAAAAAATTAGCCGGGCATGGTGGCGTGTGCCTGTAGTCCCAGCTACTTGGGAGACTGAGGCAGTAGGATTGCTTGAGCCCAGGAGTTTGAGGTTGCTGTGAGCTAGGCTGACACCACGGCACTCTGGCCTGGGCAACACAGTGAGACTCTGTCTCAAAAAAAAAAGAAGTTATGTTTTGTTGGGTGTGATAATGGTGTTTTGGTTTTTTTTTTTTAAAGTTCCTATCTGTTAAAGATATATACCATAGTATTTATAAGTGAAATGATGTGATGTCTGGGATCGTGGCTTTAAATCTCAGCAAGAAACGGAAGTGTTGAGGAAAAAAGATGAACCAAGAATGCCAAAATGTTATTTGTGGAAGCTGGGTGATAGACACATGGATTTATTATACTATTTCCCTACTTTGTGTAAACACGAAAATTTACAATAAATAGTTAAAAAATATAGGCCAGGCGAGGTGGCTCACGCCTGTAATCCTAGCACTCTGGGAGGCCGAGGCAGGAGGATCGCTCGAGGTCAGGAGTTCCAGACCAGCCTGAGCAAGAGTGAGACTCCATCTCTACTAAAAAAAATTAGCCGGGCATGGTGGCACACGCCTGTATTCCCAGCTACTTGGGAGGCTAAGGCAGGAGGATCACTTGAGTCCAGGAGTTTGAGATTGCTGTGAGCTAGGCTGAGGCTGACGCCATGGCATTCTACCCTGAGTGACAGAGTGAGACTCACTCTTAAAGAAAAAAAAAAAGAAAGAAAGAAATGACAAATATAATGCACTATCCTAGATGGGGGAAAAAGGTTGCTTTGGACAATACTGGACAATTAGCAAAATCTGACTATGTACTTTGTTTTTGACATTTTTAACATTGTATCAATGTTAAATTCTCCAAATTTCATCACCACATCGAGGTTATACAAGAGGATTTTTTTTTTTTTATCTATCTACTGTGTCCCAGGCTTCTTTATTTAAGAAAAAAGTGATGAGTGATGTGGGGATTAAAATCAAGAGCATCGTTGAACTTCACCTTCCAACAAGCTCCCCCAAAACTCCCTGCCCCCACCCTTTGTGTTCCCAATTCCTTCCTTCGTGATTGAAGAACCTATTCCCAAAAGCCCTGGTACAAACAAACTCCAGGTTCTCCTTCCCGAGCTTCCCCCCTTGCCCAGTCCCCCATTCCTATAAGGGCAGGCACCTCAGTTTGAATGCATGGGAGAGCCCAGAGTGCTGACGGAGACAGAGGGAAAGGCTTCCCCGTCAGGGAAAGGAACTGAGGAGTACAGGGTGGTAAAGTGAGGGCTCCCATAGCCTGGGGTACCAAAATGGGACCCTGGGGCCAGAGGAAAGGACACTGGTCCCCCTGAGAAAGGAGACCCAGCAGCCTCGAAGTCCTCCTGTTGTGAATAGTCACCACTAGATCGCTTGCCCTTCTGGCACCGGTTAAAGAACCACACTCGGACCACATCCTTCTCGAGCCCAAGCTGCTGGGCAATGTGGCTGATCTGCTGCAGGGTGGGTTTCAGGCACTGCAGGAACAAATTCTCCAGGTTGCCTCTCACTCGGTTCTCGATGCTCGTTCTCTTTCTCTTTCGGGCCTGCACTAGGGTCTCTGCTTTGCGTATCTCCTGAAGATTTTCATTGCTGTCAGCTTCCTCCACCCACTTCTGCAGCAGGGGCCGCAGCTTACCCATGTTCTTGAAACTGAGCTGCAGAGCCTCAAAACGGCAGATGGTGGTTTGGCTGAACACCTTCCCAAAGAGAATCCCCAGGGTGAGCCCCATGTCGGCCTGGGTGTACCCCAGGGTGATCCTCTTTTGCTTCAGGACCTTGGCAAACTGCTCGAGTTCTTTCTGCAGAGTTTTGACGTCCGGGGCCTCCTCAGGGTTTTGCTCCGGCTTCTCCTTCAGCTTCCCAGCACCCAGCGGGGCAGGGCAGGGCTTGGGGGAGGCCCCCTCAGAGCTGCTCTCCACTCCGGCTGCGGCCTCGCCCTCGGGCTGAGGGGT